AGGGGACAAAATTTTAAGTTTTTGTGGGAACAAAAAATGGTAATAAAAATAAATGAGTTTTGGGAAAATATAATGGAAAAAATTGTGAACTTATTTTTACTTTAACCCCTTTGAAAATAGCCCCTTTGATTTTTTTAAAAAATTTGGGTTGAATATATAAACTGGGGTAGTTATATAAAGCTAAAATAAAGGAGAAAATATATAAGGGACTAAAATTAAGTAATGGTAAACAAAGTTAAATGGACAGATGGTCACTATGAAATAATATTGGTTTAGGAGTAAGATCTGATTTGTAATATTAAATAAATTGAGCAGTTTATTGCACAATAAAAAGTAAAAAAAAAAAAAATGAGGTAGTTGGTACTAGCTAGCAAAAGATAGTTTTGGTACTTGCAAAAAAAGTACAGGAGGGCCCCGCTTTACGGCGTTCCGCTTTACGGCGTTCCGCTTTACGGCGTTCCGCTAATACGGACATTTAAATTATGACCAAAATCACTATGGCTCCCCCACCTGACTTTAATTTACGGTCACCGTTGCACCCTGTTTGTTTACATTCTCCATGAGCTCAGTAAGCACTAAAGTCTAACTCGTAGTTGTCTGAAACTCCAAAATTACAATGTTTTTAAAAGTTAATTTCATATTTTATATAATCATGATAATATAACATTATGTATACCTGTACCTAATTAAACTTAATAAATCGAGTATTAAATGCGTAAACATTAAATAGATTTGTATATCCATGATATTTTTTTTCAAAAATATAATAAAGCACGATGCATAACATATAAATAGATAAATTAACCCCAACATTAATAAACAAACAATGTGGGGATGTGACGACTTGCTACAAGTGTATAATAACAATACTGTAGTCTCATTAAATGTCGTAATTACGGTAATATACACATTGTTCTTTAAAACCCAAAATTCAAATTTTTTTCAAAATTATATATAAACACATGCATAACATATAAATAAGTTTTAAATACACCCACAGTAGAATAAATAAACAAATGTGAGATGTCGTAGCAGACGATTGCACAAGTGGTGATTAATCAATACCGATCTTCTATTAAATGTGTATAAAAACGGTAATATACACATTTTCATTAATCCATCCAGATATTTTTTCCAATAATTAAATAAAACACGATACATAACAAAAAAGATGTTAATACACCCACATAGAATAATAAATCATAATATATAAGATTGACGTGCTGTTGAGTGGAGCAAAGTAATTTTATGAAGGAAATTCAGAGGAAACCGCAGGCCGGACTTGAGTCCTGGAATGGGAAGTAAGTGCCTGCATCTGAAGGAGGGGTGTTAATGTTGAATTAAAAATCTGTTAAAGCACCCTTCTGGCAAGACAGTGATGGAGTGAATGATGGTGAAATTTTTCTTTTTCGGGCCACCATGCCTTGGTGGGAATCGGCCGGTTGTATAGTGATAATAAATAAATAAAAAAATAAGATGTGGGGAGCACATAACTTGTACAAGTGACGGCAAGAATAACATTTTCTCTAATCTAAATAAGAGTAAATGTGTTACTGGGGGTAACTGTAGAAAATTATTCCTTTCGTATGTATGTAAGTAAGTTTATTCAGGTATACACAAATACAGTTACATAGATTATCATACATAACAACATACGTGTAGAGAACCTAGGATAACCCAAAAAAGTCAGTGTGACTTATTTCCATTGCCTTCACTCAGAGCTTCATTTCTTCTCAAATGATGTTACATGAGAATGGGAGTGTTCTTCTTTATTAATTCTACCGTATCAATGTAGAGACAACCTGTACACAATGTAACTTGTACACAAACCAGACGTGTACATTTCGTTTGTTTTACAAAACTTACCTTCCCCTGGTTTGTTTACATAACTGCGCCTGCCCCCTCTCATGTACTCATTCTTTCTCTCTCTCATTTATTCGTTTTATCTCATTTACTTACTCCTGACACTACATTAAGACTACAAATATTTTAAGGTAAGTAATGAGTGAACTGTATATACATTTTATCGCTCTGGGATGCTTAAATATCATAGAATAGTATGTGTGGTGGGGTGGCCTGGTGAGGCTATTACAATACATACCACACTTGATTTCTTACAATAAATACTACTTGTCTCACCCTAGATTAAGACTATAAATATTTTAAGGTAAGTAATGAGTGCACTATGTGTGTATTGTACCTTTTTATTGTTTTTTGATGCCTGGTTCTATTGCTAACTTAATATATGTTAGTGTAAACTTGTTATCTAGTGTTTGTATGCATTTATAAGTGGAAAAAAAGGGTGTTCCACTTTACGGCGATTTCCGCTTTACGGCGGTAGCCTGGAACCTAACCCGCCGTATAAGTGGGGCCTTCCTGTAATTGGAATATACACTAATTGCATACACAATGAAAAGTGACTAAAAAACAAGTAGTGATAAATAAAATTAAATGGACAGGTAAGAATAATGAATATTATTAATTTGGAGTAAGATTTGACTTGTAATTTAAAATTATGAGCAATTAATAGCAGTAAGAAAGAAGTATAGAGTATTGGAGGTAGTTGATATTAGCTAGTGATGAAAAATAATAAAAATAATAATGCACAATATAATAGTAACGTACACTATATGCACCACACGTATATATGTATTAAGGGCACTTATCTAATCTGTTACAGAAATGTCAGCTTTTCTAAGGAAGGTAGAGAAATCATGTTCGTTTGAGATGGTATATTGTTGTCCTGTTGATGTTTTCCTTACTAGTATTTTCCCATCTCACGTGAAACACTGATGTATTTTGTTTTCCTGTTTAAGTTTTCTCAGCCTGAACAGAAGGTTTTGACGTTTTTTTGTTAGACACTCATTTATGTACACTCCATTTTTCATTGTAATTGCTGATTTAATTAGGTCCTTTCTTTTATCGTATGAATGAAGTCGGATCATTATACTGTGTTTACTTCCTGGTTTTCCTAGCAAATGAGCTGATGTAGGTAACAGCTCTTAGCTTGCCAATAAAGTTAGGAATCCTTAACCTGTAAATAGCTTGTCAATAAAGCTAGGGATCCTTAACCTTGTCAAACCCTGTGTAAAAAAAAAAAAAAAAAAAGAGAAGAGAAAAAAAGAAAAAAAGAAGAAAAAAAAAGAGTAAAAAAAGAGAAAAAAAAGAAAAAAAAGAGAAAAAAGAGAAAAAAAGAAAAAAAAAAGAAAAGAGAAAAAAGAGAAAAAAAGAGAAAAAGAAAGAGAAAAAAAAGAGAAAAAGAGAAAAAAAATATAAAAAAAAGAGAAAAAAGAGAAAAAAAGAAAAAAAGAAAAAAAGAGAAAAAAAAGAAAAAAAAGAGAAAAAAAGAGAAAAAAAGAAAAAAAAAGGATAAAAAAAAAAAAAAAAAAAAGAGAAAAAAAGAGAAAAAAAAGAAAAAAAAAAAAAGAAAAAAAAGAGAAAAAAAAGAGAAAAAAAAGAGAAAAAAAGAAAAAAAAAAGAGAAAAAAAGAAAAAAAAAAAAAAAAGAGAAAAAGAGAAAAAAAAGAGAAAAAAAAGAAAAAAAAAGAAAAAAAAAAAAAAGAGAAAAAGAGAAAAAAAAAGAAAAAAAAAAAAGAGAAAAAAAGAAAAAAAAGAGAAAAAGAAAAAAAAGAAAAAAAAAAAAAAGAGAAAAAAAAGAGAAAAAAGAAGGAAAAAAAGAGAAAAAAAAGAAGAAAAAAAGAAAAAAAAAAAAAAAAGAGAAAAAAAAAGAAAAAAAAAAGAGAAAAAAAGAGAAGAAAAAAAAGAAAAAAAAGAGAAAAAAAAAAGAAAAAAAAAGAGAAAAAAAAGAAAAAAAAAAAAAAGAAAAAAAAAAGAGAAAAATGAGAAAAAAAGAGAAAAAGAAAAAAAAAGATAAAAAGAGAAAAAAAGAGAAAAAAAAGAGAAAGAAAAAAAAGAAAAAAGAGAAAAAAGAGAGAAAAAGAGAGAAAAAAAAGAGAAAAGAAAAGAGAAAAAGAAAAAAAAGGAAAAGAGAAAAAAGAGAGAAAAAAAGAAAAAAAAAGAGAAAAAAGAAAAAAAAGAGAAAAAAAGAGAGAAAAAAAGAGAAAAAAAAAGAGAAAAAAAGAAAAAAGAGAAAAAAAAAAAGAAAAAAAGAAAAAAAGAAAAAGAGAAAAAAAGAAAAAAGAGAAAAAAAAGAGAAAAAAGAATAAAAGAGAAAAAAGAGAAAAAAAGAAAGAAGAAAAAGAGAAAGAAAAAAAAGAGAGAGAAAAAGAGAGAAAAAGAGAGGAGAGAAAAAGAGAGAGAAAGAGAGAAAAGAGAAAGAGAAAAGAGAAAAAAGAGAAAAGAGAGAAAGAGAGAAAAGAAGAGAAGAGAAGAAGAGAGAAAGAGAGAGAAGAGAGAAAGAGAGAAAAGAGAGAGAGAGAGAGAAGAGAAAGAAGAAAAGAAAAAAGAGAGAGAGAGAGAGAGAGAGAGAAAAGAGAAGAGAAGAGAGAAAAAGAGAAGAAAGAGAGAAAAAGAGAGAGAGAGAGAGAAAGAGAAAAGAGAGAGAGAGAGAGAGAGAGAAGAAAGAGAGAGAGAGAGAGAAGAAAAAGAGAGAGAGGAAGAGAAGAGAGAGAGAGGAGAGAGAAGAGAGAGAGAGAGAGAGAAAAAGAGAGAGAAAGAGAGAGAGAGAGAGAGAAGAGAGAGAGAGAGAGAGAAAAGAGAGAGAAGAGAGAGAGAGAAAGAGAAAGAGAGAGAGAGAGAGAGAGAGAGAGAGAGAGAGAGAGAGAGAGAGAGAGAGAGAGAGAGAGAGAGAGAGAGAGAGAGAGAGAGACAAAGAGAGAAAGAGAATATTTTCTGTCTCCAATCACTACCTTGCTACAACCTTCAATGATTCACACCTACAAATGGAGAACAAGGAGAGACTAAAAGACTTCAAAGATCTCCATGAAAGGATACAATATAAAACTTTTATTTAAATAAGGGGTTGAATCTAAATTAGTGAAATTTACTACCTCACCTCCATTTGTTGTTCTTCCTGTAACAAAGAACATGTTATTTAAATACCTTGAGTGCGATTGCATCAACATTCTCATTTGTCCACTTGCGTTCATCGTTAGTAACCAAACGGTCATGGAAAAGCCTAAGGGCTTCATGCGCCCACAACCTCACTAGACCCTCCACATCAAGAGTCTCCAGTGGTCTGGGAATGAAACAAACTTATTAGGAGAAATAAAAATATATTTTTTTAATAAAACTGTGAACAATATCCCAAGGTAAATGAAAGAGTATTATTATAATCAAGGGGCACACTAGACCCATAGAGGTCAATTATTATTATAATCAAGGGGGAAGAGGTCAAACAGTGCCTGAAGAATGGGAGGTAATAAAGTTTGATTCATGGAAGGGATGGACAGCTCTAATTCCTTGAATCAAGAGCCCTCCACCAGTTTCAAGGCACCTCCCTTGAATTAGCTAAAAAATTAAAATAGAAGAATGTTGTGATGCTCTAAGTGGAAGAAAAAACAAATACTTTCCAAAAACTTTTGAGCACTGGAATGTATGGCAACAGATAGTTGAAGTCTGGATTTTCTAGACATCTAGGCAATCCCAAGTAGGACCACACAGCTGAATTCAAGTGGCAACATTCACCTTTGGGTCAAACTCCACTATATTCACCAAAGCACAAATGGTGTATTGGATGGATAATAATGTTAGAAGAGGACAGTGTTTTTTTCTCTTCTAACATTACCCCAATCAAGTCATCTGAACTTCACTGAACACAATGCAAAGTTCTACCCAAAGGCAGATGTACCCTCTCCAAGCTGCATGGCCCTACTTCACCCATCTGTTTCCACATGTTTCATTCATCAAAGTCTGTCCAGTGTCATAACTTTCCACACACTGTATACTAGCATGTATAATTTAGAACTACCTTTTTTTTTCCAGCACAAATAGAAAAAAATTAAATAAGTACCTAATTGCCTCACAAATTCCACGAACCCAGCGAGTCATCTCTCGTGGAGAGTATACATAGTGGGGCTGCATGTCTTGAGTAAACCTCTCCTGAGACTGAAGATAAAATTCTACCATAGCATTTGTGAGTGGATCTGCATATGATCTGAAACAAGACAATAAATTAATGCAATTTTTAAAAAAATAGTAAAATGACAAAAGAAAGTTAACATATTTTGTCCAGTAACAGACACTAATTAAAGTGAGGGAGAAGTGACTCGCATCAATGACTGATAATTGCACCATTATTACCATTTAATACTACCGACTCTGCTTTCATATAAAAAAAAAATCATCCTTTCCCTATGTCCAAATTTTTCCAACTGGATTTTCATCATTTACAGCCAACAATCTCTTAACATTCCCTCCATCTCTTATACTTTACCTCCTTATCTACCAACTCAAAACTTTCACTCCCTAAGTTTTCTCACCTATTTTTATCTGTTCAAATATATATCCTACCCTCAGCAAAGTTAATTAGTAGTACTTCACTCATTCTTTCATTTTCTCATCTTTTCATTCATTATATTAAGGATCATTTGTTTCTTTATGTGCATATTGCATCCTCACGTACCTTCAAACAGTCAAAATTTCCTTCTTTCAAAATTACATGCAATAAAATGGGTACCCAATCTTAAATGACAGGCATTTTGGTCTTTATTTTACCCAAGGCTATGGGAAAAGAATTTAATCTACTTCCCCAAGGCAATAGCGAAGAAAATATTTCAGGATTACGTGGTATTAAGGAGCACAGGCAAGTAGCGATAAGTGTATACAGAATGTAAGTATGTAGTAATTAAGATGATTTACTCATTTGTAGATGAATGGTTCAGAGAACCGACATGTTGATAAATTAGACACATGTGCAACTCTTGGGTATCTTTATTGCCAACGGTTTATAAGCTCCTTCTCAGCACATATGCCGTATTCTATTCAAGATTGATGGACTGACCACATCGACTCAAGGTTGAGGGACTGATTACCTCATTCTCCTCCTGTTCTTCAAGATTCTCCTTTGTATGGACTGATGAAGCCACTGTGTGGCGAAACGTTTTCTCAATAAAGATACCCAAGAGTTGCACACGTGTCTAATTTATTATCATGATTTACTCATCTTGAGAAAGTCAAGACCAAGAATTGTTACAGTATAAAATAGTTATAATGCTACTGGTCTTCACAAATAGATCAGTAGTACCTCCCAGTTCTGTTGCAATCTACTAATCAATACATTTTACATAACACTTACCTGAGGGATGGAATGATCCGCAGCATGGCTCTGTTGAAAGTACCATAAATCTGCTTTAGAGAAGTCTCTCCTGGATAGTCCACATACACAACAGGTACATGGCGCAAGAAGCGATGGGAGAGAGGCTTACGTCCAGGGTCCGTTGGTGGATTGCAAGCACCTACGAACTGGATACGTTCCAACTTGACCCAAGCTTGATCTTGAGAATAAAATAATACATTTTAGATACAGTACTAGTATATATTTTTTCCATTTTTTTTTTTTTTACATAGTATTAACCTTTTGTTTTTGACATACATTACATAAACTTAACAAACCTGACACTCGGTAAAATCCACCATGTTCCACCATTTGCCGAAGGAAGCTAATAACCCGCTGGGTGCCATATTTGTCCATGTCTGGAAGGTTTATTTCATCGCAAAATACCACCAACCACTTGCCCAACTGAACAGGTGATAGGATTATGCCATTTGGTGTCTTACGGTATTCACAATAGTGGTCAAATGTCTTGAGAAGCAGCTCTGGGGTTGTTGCACTGGAGAAGTTTAATCCAACAACTTCCAAATCAGGCAAAGCTCTCAAAGCCGAGAAGAGTGTCATAGTTTTACCTGATCCAGGAGGACCACACAAAACTAATGGCTTGTGTTCAGCAAGCCAAGTATAGAGGAGAGCTTCGTGACGCACTGTGTCAACAGTGGGAACCACCACATCTGGCGCAGCAACCTTGTGTGTTTCAACCTCCATACTAGGAACCTTTGCAGACCATAACATCCATTCACCACTGATGGACACCTCATAGTCAATGACAGGGGTGTTTATGTTGGGTGGCAGAGGAATAGTAGTACAGTTACGAATGAAGTCGCCCATATCGCTACGTGCTTTCAGTTTGCCATCACCAGCAAAACTCCATAGTAGCGAGTGTACCAAAGCCTTTGGAATGTACCTTTAAAAGATAAGAAAATTCTTTCAATGTATAAACAATAACATTACAGTTTTAATGACTGATTTAGAAATCATTTAAACCCTGGTGTACTCAAACTCTTGTAATTTACCTCTCAAGCTGATCTGACTGCATTGGGAAATCTAGATGGGTGTTGTTGTACTGTACAACATTCCTCACAGCTTGATTTAGGAGAGCAAAGAGTGAGGACAAAGCACGCATTCGGGTGAAGTCCATTATGTGTTCCAAGTTGTTGGTGGCATATTCAAGACACTTAACAACCAAACCATCAGGTGTTAAATGTGGTGCAAAAATAGCTGCAACATCACGCTGAACCTGTTGCAAATTATATTTACTTAGAATTAAAGAAAATAATGAAAATAATAAATACAATGATTCAGTAATTAATGAAAATTATACAGGCACTTTTTATTGCACAAATGGAGTCTCAACTGAAAATTATGTATGACTTCATATTATTTTTGTCATAAAAAGCAAGTACGTGTATATTAAAAAAAATATCAAATTACATGACCAGATTACCTGCAGTGTTGGTGTAATGTCATCATCTTTCTTCTTCTCAGCTTTCTTCATGAAAGCAGCATCTTCTTCTGTCTCTTCAATAGGAATGTTGGAAAGGCGAGCAAGGAAGTTCTCAAAGATCATCTCCACTGACAGCACATCCTCCGAGAACCATACCATGCCACAACGTGAGACCGTTGCCAGTGTTGCATACTTTAGATCTTGAACCTTTTTTGAGTAAATACACATTTTCAACACTGATGCATCTCTCCATGCTACTTTCACTATTTTAATTAATTATGTACTATATACATATCTATCATTATTCATTTAATCCATTATACCCATACAATCTTAATTCACATTCATCAAACCTTCTGTATCAAACCTTGATACAGAAACTGCATGTATTATCTGAATTGCAAAAAGCCATAGTAATCTTTATGTTCTGCTTGAAACATTAATCACAAATATATTTGTCAATTAATTTGCATTTCTCACCTCAAACATAATGCGGACATTTGGTGGGATTGACAATCGCTCTCCATTAGGAAGTGTGAGCAACTTGTTATCATCCAGTACAGAGTTCAAGTTCTCAACCCATTCTGGATCAACATCACCATCAAAGATAATCCACTGCCGCTTGTTGATTTCTCCACGCACATTGTCAATTATCTTTCTGTGTGTATAATTAGTAATTATATTAACAATGGGTAAAAAGTTCAAAGATACACTCATTCTCATACAAATCAGCCTCTGAAGATATTCAAAGTGCAGGCAATATGCTTTCCAACCTCCAAAACTAGTTAGCCAGTTTCCCTAAATCTCCCCCCCCCCCCCCCACTACAGACATTATGCTGATACTACAGTAGACCCTCAGGTAAAGGTTTCATCGGCAAGTGCCAAAATCGGCTAACGGCTCGCTTTGGCGTAAAAATATTGGCTCAGCTAACGCCAAATAACTTGGCTAGGGGCTTTTATCCCGAACGTGTCCACGAGGCCTGAGCAGGCCCGGCCACTCCATGACTCCGTGTACAGTCAGTGTGCCATTGCTTACAAGCCAGGGAGGACAATTCCATGCATACAAGCGATATATTTAGTATTATTCCATTGTTTTTAGCGCTTGTAACTGCTAAATAAGCCACCATGGGCCCAAAGAAAGCTTCTAGTGCCAGCCCTGTGATAAAGAAGGTAAGAAACGCAATAAAATTCAAGAAAAAACTCATAGCAAAGTACCAAAGTGGAGGAGGAAGAGAGAGGGGAGAATGTGCCTTCTGCAGTGATTCAGCAATTCTATGATATGTACGATACTAAAGCAGCAGGTATCGATAAAGGTTACAGTGCCAGCCAGCGATAAAGTGTAGAATTAACAGTGTAGCAAGTAAGTTAAGCAAGTAAGCAATAGAAAAACAACACGAAAGTAACTCTGTGTTGTTGGATGTGTGTAGGGCTGCTGAACATATGCCGCCCTGCTATCTTCCACCAACCTAAACCTCTGCCAGCATCTCCTCCATCAAACTAACTAATTAACCCTTTGACAGTTGCAGCCGTATATATACGTCTTACGAGGTACCGTGTTTGACGTATACTCAAATTCTAGCAGCTTCAAATCAAGAAGGAGAAAGCTGGTAGGCCCACATGTGAGAGAATGGGTCTGTGTGGTCAGTGTGCACCATATAAAAAAAATCCTGGAGCACGCAGTGCACGAGAAAAAAAAACTCCGACTGTTTTTTTTTAATTAAAATGCCGACTTTGTGATCTATTTTTGTATAGTATTTATGGTTGTATTCTCGTTTTCTTGGTCTCATTTGATAGAATGGAAAACATATAGAAAATTTTGACTGATTTTACTATAAATAAAGAACCTGGAAATGGAGCCAAAGTAGGGGAAATGTTTGATTTTTGCCGATGTTCAAAAGTAAACAAATGATGTCATTGTCCAACAAATGTCCAACTAGCCATTCTAATATGCAGTCATGAATGGGTTGATGTTATTTATACAATTATTACAGTATTGCAGTAGTCTGCATAATAGTAAATCAGCTATTTTTTGCTTGAATAAAAATTCAAAATAGAAAGCAAGAGTAATATCAGAGGGGCCTGGAGACATTACCGATGAACAAAGAAAATGTTATTTTAGAGCCAGGAATTTCCGTCTGCATTGTTCATTCTGGACCTTATTTTGAAATTGTCATTTTTTAATTTTCGTGAAATTGGTCAAATTGCAAATTTCTGACCACGTTATTGGGTAGTTGAAATTGGTAAATGGACAGTTTTTTGTACTCAATCGATAGGAAAAATGGAGTTCTACAGAAATAGCTATGAGTTTGGTCGAATGGAACAATGGAATTAGATGAAAATAGGGCTCAAAGTGGGCGAAATCGCCGATTTGTAAATATCGCTGAGGTCGCTAACTTCACGAGAGCGTAATTCCGTCAGTTTTCCATCAAATTTCATTTTTTTTGGTGTCATTACAATCGGGAAAAGATTCTCTATCATTTCATAAGAATTTTTTTTTTTTTTTAAATTTTGCAACACCAGGAAACACCTCAGGATTGGGGGTTGTGACAGTCAAGGGGTTAAACTAAAATCTCCAAGGTAAGTGTAAATATAAAAGTGTAAGTATAAAAGTAAATGTAAGTGTAAATATAAAAGGGCCCCAATGGAAATACACAAGTCACTGACTTTTTTGGGTTATCCTAGGTACTGTACACATATGCTGTTATGTATGATAATCTATGTAACTATATTTGTATATACCTAAATAAACTTATTTATAAATTAAAATGTAAATATTTCTTATTTATAAATTACATACATTGTTTAAGTGTGATAGTGGTGGTGGGTTCTGCCGGTGCCTCCACCACTATGTATGGCTTCTCTCAGTGGCCCTCAAACCCAACAACACTTACACCATTTACTCTCATACATTATGACATTTTATTCATTCTAGAGTATATATCATGTTTCTATGTTATTAATATTGTTTATAATATATTAGATGAATTGTGATTGATAAATAAACCGTAGAGATGATATTAGCGTCATATTGAAGCATAATAAACTCTCCTTCCTCTTGCCTCCTACATGTCTACCATACACCAACAAATTAAGTCAATAAAGGTAAGTGTGATGTTAAATGTTCATTTATCCATTTTATTAGTGCTATATATTTACTCGTCACTGTTTTCTGTATGTATATTTATATTTAATCTTTAAAAAAAATATTTTTTGTCAATACTTTTGGCTGTCTGAAATGGATTAATTGGATTTCCATTATTTATGGGGAAAATTAATTCGGCTAAAGGCTAGCTCTCTGGAACGATTGAAAGGCATTACCCAAGGGTCTACTGTACTCTAATACAGAGGTGGGCAAACTTTTCAGTGCAGGGGCCACATTCAGATTGGAAACTGTACTTGTCAACAAAGGAAAATGAACAAAGTTTTGCTTGTTCAGCTGCACATAAGTGAATACATGACTTGATCTTGGCGGGCCACATGAAAACCTTTGGCAGGCCATAGTTTGCCCACCCCTGCTCTAATACGATAAATCCCCCCCAAAAAAAACCCTCTTCACTTAGATCTAATCCACATGAACACATGTCTGCAGGATGTTCAAGCTCCCACCTCAATGCCTCTCACACATTCTCTTAATAAAGCCTCACCTCACTTAACAATAGGGTTCCATTCTTAAGAGAAGGTCAGCGAGTGAACTGGTCATTAAGCAAGGAGCATACTATACTGGTAGTGGGCTTGTGTCAACCATCTTCAGATATTTTTTAATGTCATCTTTGCACCATTTATAACATTTCAAGTATATTTTAAATGTTTATACAGTAGTGTACTGTATACTGTAATAAATAGAATAGAGAAAATCAGCTCTAATATACATTACTTAGGTTTGCATACTGGTTGGAGAGCTGGTCATAAGTCTGAGCAGTCAGTAACGAGTACGTTGCTAAGTGAGGAGAGGCTGTATTACAGTTGCTCAATAACCCCCTCAGATTTCTATACATATATAAGCAACTTATCTTACTAGTTATTTCTATATAGTAAAACAATCTCTGCAAAGGCAGTGATTATGTGTGAATGAGGGTGAAAATTTCTTTCTTTCTTGGGTCACTCTGCCTTGGTGGGAGACAGCTGAATGGTGACAAAGAAAAAAAAAATCTCAACAACCATTCTTCGCTTACTTACACTTTCAATACCACCACACCTAGTCTGAACCCGTATTTTCTACATAACTCACTGGCCATTTCCCACCAAGATGGGGAAGACTCAAATTAGAAAATGCCTTTACTGTCCTCCTAGTATGGTATAGCCATCACAATCAAGTGTTGACCCACACAACTATAAAGTCCCCACATCAATTTTAAAGTATAAAAAAGTAATTTTAAAATTTAAGTTACAAAAATTATGAGTTGTCTGCAACTGTTAAATAATAACAAAGACTACCCTTGTTTCAAAATACAAGACTGTTGTAACGAGAGGTAGAGGCTAAAACATCCAGCAGGCATATGAATATTAGATCAGTGTAGAGGCTGATGGCCTTTGGGATTTAACAGGCTGTTGGAGTACAAGCACTAATACATGCACTTATAAAGGGATTTGAGAAATTTAGCAAGACAGTTTCGGAGGTGGGAAGCGCAATGCTTGAAAACTTACAAGACTAATAGGGTTGTTGCAGTATGGTGGGATGTTAGTGAATGAAGGTGTCTACCTATTTTCAGATAGATAAAGTGATGGTAAATGTTTTCTTTGGCATCACCCAACTGATGTGAAAAAATACTGCATTTTTTTTTGTGCAACACACTGGCCATTTCCCCACCAAGATAAGGTGAGAAAAAATAGTGCATTCACATTCAATGCTGTCCTGCAAGAAGCACACTGACATCAAGAGTTCAGATGGCCTTCCAAAAAGCACCATCCTGATAATAAGAAACTGTTAACTCCAATAAAAATCTCACCTTAGAATGTGGGTAAAGAGCCCATCTGTCCATTCTCGAGTATTTGGATCCAGAACACCATATAATGTTTCTTTGCTCATGGCCTTAGGATCAATGACATGAGCAACACCCTCCACTCCCTCAAAGCGTTCCAGAGCTCTGAGGAGAACACGCCAAGCAGTAGACTTCCCAGATCCACTGGGACCCACCATCATCAAGCCATGGTTCAAATTGCTTATTTGATATAATTGCAGTACCTGCAAAATATAACACAAAACACTTAAGTTTTCAATGTATATATAGAGCAAAAACTTAAAAGAACCAATATTCAATACTTATTAACTGTGCATATGTGAGTGATAAATTATTTAATTTCTGTTTTTATATGTAAGCATGAAACCTAACACTAGAGATAACTATATTATAAATAATGCACTTATATAAACTATAAAGTCTCAAGAAATACAAAATGCACATGGGTGAACATTAACTGAAAAATGAGTGTACAGATCTTTTGAGGACTTAACAGTTACATGAGGTTATACGGCCATACAGATTATACAGTGTTGACAGAATTGAGAAAAGCATTCTTAGAAATAGAACAGATGCTACAATCAGGCAGTGAATAACTATATGATACAGGAAAGTTGAATTTCATACAAAGATATCTACTGTCTACACTATGCTTTGGAAAAGTCAAACTATTTTAATTTTTTTTTGTCAATGAATGGGCAGGATTTGAACCAGAGGTCTACCATGTGCTAACCTTATGCTTGAATCACTAGACCACGAGGGCTAGAATAAGTTTGTTAACCCTATCATGAGCAAGTAACTTTAGCAGATGCCAATAACTGTGGTGTCAACTGAAAGTTTATTTTATAGAAAATCTTTCATCAACAGCATGATCAAATAAAGTCTTGTCCCACTAAGTCAGGTAAATGCTTCAGAAAAAATTATAATAGACTAACTTTTTTAAGGGAACAGGTTATATCTGAACCTGAGATCTAGCATGTGCTAACCCCATGGGACAAGAGCTCCAGCTGTTCACAGACTTATAAGACATTCTATTAAAGAACATGCAGACACCCCAGATAGGGGCACTTGCTAACATTACCTGAAATAATTTGAATTTTATTATAGTCTTCAAAGTCTAGTGGTTTGAGCATAGAGGTCGAAAGATGCTAGCCCTTGGGATTGAATCACACAAATTACACGAAAAAATTCCAACTAATTTCATTTCAAATTTTAACATATTTCCACAAATCTGAAAACTATAAAAACAAGCATTTAAATACTTCATCAGTCCTTTATACAGGATGTTTTTAATAAACAACTATACTGTACACTACAATTTTTGTATGGATAAAACAGACTACACACTAAGAGCATGTTAAAAAGGACCAAAAATATTGCAAGTTTATTAAACTTTCCTTGGAAATAAGCAATTCACTCCCCAAGAATACTGAAAAATTGCAGTCTTAACAGAAAACCTGACACCAACTCATACAATCATCAAAGAGGAGTCTTATCAATTAATGAAGAAATATTGCTAACTAGCAGGCCATGTGGAAGAAAATGGTTCATATTTTTTTATGGTGTTTCAAATTACATTAAAAACACCCACCAAATTTTCTTCCTTATGAATAATAAACATCCAAATTTGATGATTGATACCTAGTTCCATTAGCATATTGGTTCCCAGAACATTCAAGTTTGTGCAAAAAACTTCATAACTGACCAATTACTGTGCAAGTCTTACACTTTAAATAAAATTTTATGCAAAATTACAGGGAATACTGACCTACAACTACTTTAAAGGCTCCTTATACTTCTCATATAAAACATTTGCAAATAAAGAATACAGTAAAGAATTTGCCAAATTACAATGCAGCAGCAGTGAGTATGGAGTTAATGCTTGGCAGCTATTTTCAGTAAGCCATTTTCTTGCACTTTTATACATTATACATATTACAAGTTTCATAATGAAGCAGCAGAATATGTACTGAAAAAATTAATGCATAAATTAAATGGAGTGATTTGGTGACTAAGGCATATGGCTGGTAATTCTAGGATTGCCAGACAGGATATTTCAATCCCAATCACTCAAGTGACTATGTAAATTTGAATTACTTAACTTTCTCTTACACTTTAAACTTTAATTAGGACTACAAATATTTTTGTTTTTAACAAACTGCTGCACAAACAAGCAAGACCTCCACCAAGCTAAGAAGGTGCACTAAGCAGGGAACATTGAGTCAGGATGGGCAAAGGTGAGAGCAGGCATTCTGGGGCCAGACCACCCTCCCTAGGACCAAACCTAGGCCAGCATTGCCCTTACCTTCTCACACCAGCCCTCCCCAGGGATACTCCCCTTTGGCAGACATGGGGGTAAAGTCATATGTAAATTAAATGGTATGCACCAAAATAAAATAAAATCAAATACTGTCTTATCATGATATGCTTTATATGGCCAACTACAAAATGACTAGATGTCACTTGTCATAGCTAGTCACAAAAATCATCCTACACATGATATTAACAGTAATTTATAATGATTTTCATAAGGTGTCCTTTAAAAGATTGGCACACCCATAAAGAAACTAAAGTTACAATATTGGGAGCCAGGTATTTTTAAAGTCATTGATTAGGTCATTGTGATTTGCTAGCTACAGATAGTTGGTCTAAGTTCTACAGTTTAAAGAAAGTGACTACAGAATAATCAATGTGAATTTTTTAAGCAAAAGTATGGACATTTTCTTTATGTATATCAAATAAAATCACAAAATTAAATGGTTAAATAGTTTCCCCCTGTATCAATGCAGAGAACTACAAGTTGTGTATAGTAATTTCTAAAACATACACCTCATTTTGCATAAAAATGGAATAGATCAATTACTGACCAACCCATTATGTCAATTATGTCCTTGCCTTGAATTACAATTCTGTGGCTAGGGTAAATTATCAGAAATAGATCTTTAAAACTGAAAGAGACATGTCTGCATGTTCTGGACTATCTAGTCATGTTGAAGCGTAATGTTAAGCCTTCTATGTGTTTATGATATCCCTGCTTTCATTGGGTTTAATCATTACTCTTGTATCCACCTCTTTTAAAGTTATTTTACTCTCACAAAATATTTCCCCCATCCACTACAGTCTTTCTTTTTACCAATATTATGCTCAAATGTGCACATTTTTTCCACACAGTTTTAGAGCTCAATGTATTTACTACAAAACTGAATGTAGTTTTCTTTTCATATTTTTTATTACTTTAAAATTTCTCAATAGCCTTTCTCTTCCATTTAATATTAATTAACACAACATCTCACTTTTCTGTTTCACTCCCACTAAGAGCTACCAACTAAATTATCCAACTTTCCCAGCCTTATACATTTTCTTCATATCTAGCTCTTCTACATCCCACTATGCTGTTTAGTACAGTATCCATTTTTTAACATCGGCCGTTTCCCACCGAGGCAGGGTGACCCAAAAAAGAAGAAACACTTTCATCATTCACCCCATCACTGCCTTGCCAGAGGCACATCTACACTACCATTAAAAACTTGCAGCATATCTCCACCCCTCCTTCAAGGTGTAGGTACTGTACTTCCCATCTCTAGGAGTAGGTGGGAAGTGCAGTGCCCACTGTTCTATCATCTATTATTAGTTTCACATACCATTTTTTTACAGCATCAATAAACTGTTTTTTTTGCACTCACACTGCCTTCACATCCTTCAATTATTACTTAACCCTTTGACTGTCGCAACCCCCAATCCTGAGGTGTCTCCTGGTGTCGCAAAATTTAAAAAAAAAAAAAATTATTTTTTCTTATGAAATGATAGAGAATCTTTTCCCGATTGTAATGACACCAAAAAAAGGAAATTTGATGGAAAACTGACGGAATTATGCTCTCGCGAAGTTAGCGACCTCGGCGCTGTTTCCAAATCGGCGATTTCGCCCACTTTGAGCCCTATTTTCGGCTAATGCCATTGTTCCAGTCGCCCAAATTCATAGCTATTTCTTTAGAACTTCATTTTTTCTATCGATTGAGTACAAGAAACTGCCCATTTACTGATTTCAACTACCTAATAATGGGGTCAGAAATTTGCAATTTGGCCAATTTCACGAAAACTAAAAAATATGATAATTTCAAAATAAGGTCCAGAATGAACAATGCAGACATTCCTGGCTCTAAAATAATGTTTTCTTTGTTCATCGGTCACGTCTCCAGGCCCCTCTGATATTACTCTTGCTTTCTATTTTTATTTTTTTTCAAACAAAAAATATTAGACTTACTATTATGCAGACTACTGCAATGCTGTAATAACTGTATAAATAACATCAACCCATTCATGACTGCATATTAGAATGGCTAGTTGGACATTTATTGGACAATGGCATCATTTGTTTACTTTTGAACATTGGCAAAAACCAAACATTTCCCCTACTTTGAGCTCCATTTCTAGGTTCTTTTTATAGTAAAATCAATCAAAAACACCTCTATTTCTGTAATATGTTTTCCATTCTATCAAATGAGACCAAGAAAATGAGAATACAACCATAAATACTATACGAAAATAGACCACAAAGTCGGCATTTTAATTAAAAAAAAACGGTCGGAGTTTTTTTTTTCTCATTATGCACTGCGTGCTCCAGGATTTTTTTTATATGGTGCACACTGACCACACAGACCCATTCTCTCACATGTGGGCCTACCAGCTTTCTCCTGCTTGATTTGAAGCCGCTAGAATTTATGAGTATATATACGTCAAACACGGCACCTCGTAAAACGTATATATACGGCCGCGACAGTCAAAGGGTTAATTCCAGTATTTTATTTAGTATTAATATAACTTCACTGAAGTTACTAAACATCCATTTCTAAAAAAAAAAAAAAAATTTGCACTATAAATCTTATTTTAATGACCTAGAGAACAGAATTCATGCAAAACCTACTGTACAATTTATCAAGGAAATTTCAGATGACATTTTGCCCCATCCAGGTCCATTATAGTCACAAATAACAATGGTCTAGGATGAACCACTAGTTTCCTTTCCATATTGTGGGTTATTGTGAATTATTCCAGCCACGTTACTGTAATTCATTTTTCAATAATGGATGATACTTTTTCCTAAATTTATTGTGTATGGTAAGATCAGATTCTGTCGAGACATTAATGCCAAGAAATACAATATGAACTGATACCATCTAGGTTCTAGGAACCAAGTCTAACAGCCATGGATTATTACTATTATTATTTTAACATGCTGGCCATCTCCCACTGAGGCAGGGTGACCAGAAAAACACTTGCACTATCACCATCTTGCCCTAGGTGCATAGATACAACAGTTTAGATGTCCCTCTAAACAGCAAATATCCCAAAACCCTCCTTTAGAGTGCAGGCACAGTACTTCCCACCTCCAGGACCCAAGTCCAGCTAACCGGTTCCCCTGAATCTCTTAATATATTACCTTGCTCACACCACCAGCTGTCATGTCTTAAAACCATTTGTCTCCACTCACTCCTATCTAACACACATTCTGCTTTATGTCTAAGCCCCTTGTGCAAAACCATATTTACCCCCTCCCTCCATCCTTTCCTAGGAAAACCCCTACCCCACCTTCCCTCCACTACAGATTTAAGACACTCCAAGTCATCCTATTTTCCTCCATCCTCTCTAAATGACTAACCCATAGGGAGTCGTACAGCATCTGGGGAGTGGAATCATCAGATTTAGCCCAAGGGGAAAACAAGTCTAATTTCTTGGATCAAGAGGTCCCCTCCTTACCAAAGGAGCCTCCACTGAGAGGATGGTTTACATATATAAAACCTGATTCTAATAGTATATTCTGCTCAATTTCACTCTGATCTACATGGAAAAGCATAAATCACTGCAACCTACATCTGAATAAACTCTCCCATTCCACAAGATTTCCCAACAGTGAAATATTTTAGCACCTTTCCAGTGAGAATCTTAAAATTCATTATGCAATTTGTATCCCATTTCCCAACATCATTACTCTCTCTATGATAAAGGTAAAATATAGTTAACACATCTTGAAACCATTCATTAGATTTGTTGCAGTCACTTTCTTGTTAAATTACCTGACAGTTTATTTTAATAGTAAACATGTATTCTATTTAAATGTAAATATATTGAGATACAGTAGTGTACATGTATGGATGCATGAAAGTATGCTAGATAACACTGCAAACAAATATATACAATGTATCTTGTGACACATTGGCCATATTCCACCAAGGCCTGGTAATGAAAGTAAAAAAAATATTTATGTACTATCACTTATTCCCTACCTATCTTTCAAGTTGATGGGCATCATAATTCAAATAATCCAATGAACAGCAACATAATTACTTCTGACAATTGCTTACCTCCAAAGGTCAGACTACATTTTTCAAGTCCCTTTATACATATTACTGTGTACAATCAAACAGCAAAACTCCACTTATGTTGACCTAACAGGATTCCATATTCCTCTTGTATGTTCACATCCCTACCCCTCAAACCATCTTTACATGAACCTTCCAACCATTCTAGTAAAAGCCCTTATAACCCCTTCAAATTAACCCAGATTTATACCCTCTTTGTTAAACACTCATGCTCCATCCTTCTGACTAAACCACAACAACCACTACCACTCCTTAAATTATGTCTTACCCAACACTACACCATCTGCTAATTTCTTGGCCCATTCTCTGAACTGAAATTACACACTGATAAGCACAACATCACTGCTTCCAGCCACCGCTCCTCCACTGCAATGTTCAAGGACCATGCCCTGCATCCATACAAAAGTGGTGACACCACTATATTGATACATTCCCTTTCTTTGCATCCACTAATAAATTTTCTTTCCTCCAACTCAAATACTTAAATTACCTCCTTTCCTACTTTGATTTCCCTCGTCTTTCACTGACCTATCTGTTGACGCATTCCTTCAAATACTATTTATATTCACTTTCTCAATACTCCTTAAACAACAGGTGGCTACCAGGACCATTGTCCCTGTGGTCGAGTCTCAGACATGGCCTCCTACAGTGGAAAAGACATTACAAGAGTAACACTGATAAAAAAAAGAAAAGCGTTTATAAGACTAACTGTACCTACAATACTGCATGTACCAGAGTTATAACCAATATATTAGCAACCATGACAAAGAAAAATGTTTAGTGATTTTATATATTATTCACATGCCACAACTTCCTGGGTGGTTGCTATTGCCAACTTATTTCCCTCGAATCATTTGCTACCTGAACTTCCTCTTATCAATTTGCTATTTACTATTTTCACTTTCAACTTCCTTTTACATGCCCTCTCAAACTCCAACATTCTTAATAACTTCTCTTCTAA